ACCCTAGTTACTAGTTCTTTCTCTCCTGAAATTATTTCATATTTATATTGCATGTGTTTTGTATTTTTCTTTATCTTTGTATAGAGTTTCCCTTGAGTAGAATGCAAGCTACTTGAGGAGGAACAGTTATATTTTTGTTTTTTGCATCCCCAATCTGGAACACAATAGGCATTTTATAAATATTCATTGATTGATTAAGTGATTGTTGGATGAATGAATGAATGAACAAAATATCTTGTGGCATCTGTATTTCTTGTGTGATTGAAATTCTGACCACCTCCTCTATGCCTTAGTAGAAAGAACAATCCAATTGATATTATTACTGGAAGCATTTTTAAAAATATGCCTTATGTCTAGTAGAATGCAAGCTTCTTAAGGGCAGAGACTTTCTCATTTTTTAATTTATTTTCCTAGCAACAGCCACCATGTCTGGCATACAGTTGGTGCTTAATAAATGCTTGTTGATTGATGTTGTCTATGTCATATATATAGGATAAAAACAAGACACATAATTTCATTGGTATAGGAAATTCCCAGGTGAGAAAACTCCTTCTACCAATGTAACATGGCTCCTACTCTGCAACCTAGAGAGTTGCCTAGAGCCCTAAGAGGTGAACCAATTTGACCCAGGTCACAGTGCCAGCATGTTTCAGTTGTAAGACTTGAACCCACATCTTCCTGATTTCAAGGCTGTCTCTCAGCTTGTATAATTATCATGGAATTATTCAAGGTCATATAGGGAGAAAGCAGTATACCCCAGGTTCCCTGACCCAAAATTTAATACACTTCTCATTATGCCATATTGCTTCATCTGTCCTGGTTTCCATTTTCCAATGGCAAGCTCTTAAGTGGCCAGGTCATATTTTAGTTTTATTTTTGAATGGTGCCTATTTCTATGTCATACACACAAAAGGAATTTTTAAAAATAAATACTTGATGTCAATGATGATGTGAATTAGATCCAGATCCTATAAAACTAAGGACTGAATGAGCTGAGCAGAAAGGTCAAAGTCTTGGGCCTCCAAACAAAAAAAAATCCACATAGTTGAGTAACCACTCTATGTTCTTCCTTTCTTTGATTGCCAATAGAAGAAGCTCTGCTCCTCATTTTCCTCTTCTTCTTCATCCTCCTCCTGCTCTTCCTCCTCTTTTTTCTCCTCCTCCTCTTCCTCCTCTTCCCCCACATCTAAAACAGATTTCCTGAAAGACCTTCTGGTTCAGTTCTCCTTCCCTTGGCAGGGCAGACTGTCTGCTGAGCCAGTCAGCTGTCTCCTTGAGATTCACTGCCAGGTGGACAGCTTTGATGGCAAGGAGGTGGCTTTCCGCCCAGTTAAGCCGCTTTCCAGCCCCCAGCCATAAAGATGAGCTCTCGGCCCTCCTTCCTCCTGTAGGATAGTGCAGACATATTGCCTGCCCTTAGAAGGACAGTGTCCCTGTGGAGCTGATTACTGAGCTGAGCACAGCCCCTTACTTACTGCTCTTCTCTCAGAGAACTTAGGAGCCTGACTTTGACCAGCTCCTTTGTGTCAGCCATTCTCAGGGAATGGAGCCATGGGAGTAGTTAGCATGATTGAAGGTCAAGGAACCAGAGAGGAGGGGAAGATTGTACTGTGGATCCCAAGTTTCTTCAATGACTTGCCAGGCAGGCTATGCACCGTCCTCATTGGGAAATGCTTCTTTCCAAAGGAAGAGGCAGACAGATGTCTCCAAAATCTTAATCATAGCATATACTCTCTTGCCAGCCCTCCAGGCCCAGATTTCCAGTGGCCCACAGGATGTCTCCAAGTGGATGACCCACCCAAACTACAAATTTAATGTTTCCCATATTGATGCCTTTATTTCCTCCCCCAACATCCACTCATTCCCCTTTCCCTAACTTTTCTCTTTCTTTTGTTATCACAACTATTTTTTGGCTCCCTCATTCCCCACAGCAAATTAGTTGCCAAAAGTTACTGATTTTACCCCTGTACTATCTCTTGTTTCTGATCCTTCTTTTCCACTTTCCCTGAAACCATCTTAGTTCAGGTCCTTACCTCTTCTAGCCTCTAACATCTAGGTGGAGCAACAGATAATAGAGGGCTGCTTCTGGAATCAGAAAGACCTGAGTTTAAATCCAGCCTCGGACATTTAGTAGCTAGGTGACTCTGAGCAAGTCCCTTAACTTCAATCTGCCTCAGTTTCCTCAACTGTAAAGTAGAGATAATAATAGCACCCACTTCCCAGCATTGTTGGGAGGATCAAATGAGATAACATTTGTAAAGCTCTTAGAATAGTTCTTGGTACATAGTGGGTTCTTAATAAATGCTTCTGCACTCCTGATTCCATTATTTTCTCTCTCCAAGTCATGCATCAGTAATCTTTCCAACTTCTCTCTGTGATGACATCACTCAAAAACTTTAGAGGCTGCCCTGATATTAGCACTCAGGACGCTCCACAATGTGGTTCTAAATTTCCTTTCTAGCTTTCTCTTAGACTGGTCCCCTTCTTCCTCTTTGTTGCATCCTCATTCTCATAGTGAGGTCTCTTATCCCTTATTCTCCTAACATGCCTTGTCTGTCACCTATCTCTGTCTGACAACGTCCCTCTCTTCCTTTTTCCTTCAAAATCTATTTCAGGCTTAACCTCTGATAAGTCAGTGCACAAACATTTATTTATTTATTTTTATTTGAGGGGGGGAGGGTTAGGCAATGGGGTTAAGTAACTTGCCCAGGGTCACACAGCTAGTAAGTGTTACGTGTCTGAGGTCACATTTGAACTCAGCTCTTTCTGAATCCAGGGCCGGTGCTCTATCCACTGCGCAACCTAGCTGCCCCTGCACAAACATTTATTAAGCCTGTTTTTGTTTACAGAGTATTTATTACTCTGTAATAAATAAAACAGAGTATTAACAGAATATTTATTACTCTATTCCAAGTACTGTGCTAAGTGCTAAGGATACTAAGAAAGACTTATTTTTGTGAGGATCCTTTTGGTTGCTGCCCGAAAGGAGCTTATATTCTAAACAACTTTGTGCATACAAGATACAGAGAGTATCTGGAAGGCAATCTTAGAAGAAAGCACTAGCACTGCGGGGATGAGGAGGGGGCAGCAATGATAAAGGCCTCCTGCAGAAAACGAGGCTTGAGCTGAATCTCAAAGGAGACCAGGAGAGTCAGAAGATGGAAATAAGAAGGGAGAGAATTGCAGGGATAATGGATAGCCAATGAAAAAAGCATGGAGGTAGGAGACAGAGTGAACTATCTGAGGAAGAAAAAAATGCAGGTGCTACTAGAGAGGAGCAAAGTATAAGAAGAATAGAAAAATAAAGTGGAAAAAAGGCAAGATTGTGATGGGCTTTAAATGTCCAATAGGATTTTATGCTAGTAATAGGGAGTCCTTGGAGTTTATTAAGTAGGGGGTGACAGGATCAGACCTGTAATTTTAGGAAAATTGCCCTGGCTGCTGAATGGAGGATGTATTAGAATGGGGAGGTGTGGCTGGCAAGCCAACCAGAAGGCTATCACAATAATCCAGGTGTGAGGGAAAGAGAGCCTGCACCAGCCAGGGTGGTGGCTATGTGGATGGAGAAGCAGGGCTGGAAATGAAAGATGCCATGAAAGTAAAAATGATAAAACGTGGCAATAGATTGGCTAGACGGTGTGAGTGCAGGGGAGGAGTCAAGGATTCCACCCAGGTTGTGAGTGAGTGGTACCTTCAACATTGATAGGAAAGTTTGGAAGAAGGGAAAATTTGAGGGAAAGGATAAAAAATTCTGTTTTGGACATGTTGTTTGAAATGCTTAAGGGATATCTAGCTTGAGATGTCCAAAGCATGGCGATGTGAGTCTGGAGGTCAAGAAAGAGGTTAGGACTGGATATGCATAGATTTGGAGATCGGTTGCCAGAGGGGAGAAAAGAAGAGAGCCCAGGCTAGAGCCTTGAGGAACATTCAGAGTTAGTGGGCATGACCTGGAGGAAGAAGTATCAAAGGAGACTGAGAATGAGCTGTCAGACAAATAGGAGGATAACCAGGAAGGGGTGGGTCATGAAAACTTAGAGATGGGGAGTCATCCAGGAGAAGAGGGTGATCAGCAGTTTCAAAAGGTACAAAGAGATCAAGCAAGATGAGAATTGAGAAACATTATTAGAGTCAACAATTCTTTCACTAATCTTTCCATTAATTCCTCCTGGTCTCACTCTCACTTTGCCTAGCCCTCACCTTTGCACTTACATCACCTTCTCTTATATTATAGCTATCTGTGTACACATCTTTTCTTAATAATTTTCTTAATAATTTAATCTTAATAATTGAGGCTAACTAATTATCTAGCTAAACTGGACTTCTTGCTGTTCTTCACAAATGAAATTCTGTCTCTCCCCTCTGTGCCTTTGCTTAGAATCTACTCAATAAATGCTTATTGTTGATTCATTAACAAGGCAACTTTATTAATGAAAGGAAGGTCTGTGATGTACCTATCATTGTATTCCCAGCCCAGGACTTCATATGGAGTAGACACTTCATCAGTGTTTGTTGAACTGAATTGAATAAATGAATGAATGATGAAGTATTTATTAAGCTCTTATTAAGCACAAGCAATATGCAAAGCACAGAACAGACAAATACAAAAGTAAACACAATTCCTTCCTTCGTAGATCTTATATTCTAAGAAGGCAGATAGCACACATGGGGAAGAGACATTTTGGGACAGGGATGGTGAATGGGGCCATAGAGTGAAGGGAAGGGAAAGGGAATAATCATTATATAGTACCTACTATGTGCCAATTACTAAGCTAAGTGCTTTACAAATATTGTCTCATTTGATCCTCAAAACCACCCTGAAAGGTAGTTGTCATTTCCATTTTACAGTTGAAGCAACTGAGGCAAATAGAAGTTAAATGACTTGCCCAGAGTCACACAGCTAGTAAGTTTCTGAGGCTGGATTTGAACTCAGGTCTTCATGACTCCAGATCCAGCTTCAGCCACTTCACCTCCTAGCTGCCTATGTATCATAGGGTACATACCTCATCCAGGGACAATGGCAGAGTTGATGTGATTCTAGTTCATGGTTCCAGAGCCAGAGGTAGGGAGGCAGAAAGGATATGCAGGAGGCAAGTCAGATGGTGAAGCTATTGAAGAGATGACCAGAGAGCAGGGAGAGAAGTAAAACATGACAGCTGGGACTTTCCAGAAATAGTGATCCGGATAGCAGGTCCCTAGGGTGGCGAGAACGTTGCCAACATTGTGGAAGAGATAGCAGGAGAATGAGAAGTGAAGTGAAAAATGAAAATAGAGAAAGAAAAAACCAACCAAAGTTTCTGAATGAAATCATGAAATTGTCTCCTCCTTGGTAAACACTATAAAATCAGTATTCTAATTAGATAAATGTGCCTCTGTACATTACCTATCATTACAGAGCCTTGGGAGAGCAGAGCATGCAACTTTCTAGGAAAACAGCAACCTACAGTGGAAAAAGTGTTAGATTGGGAGTCAAGAAAGACCTGGGTTCAAAATCTGACATTTACTACATGTATAACTACAGACAAATCACTCAGCCTCTTTGAAATCTCATTTGCCTCATTTGTAGGACGGGGGTAGTATGACCTACCTCATAGGATGGTGAGGATCAAATAAGATAATAATGTGTCATGCAAATGTATCTCCAGTTATTATCAAACACCTTTTTTGTAGAATTGCTAATTCTACCAATATTTTTAAGTGTCTTCAACTGTGTTGATCCTAGTTGTTATTCCTCAAGATCAGAATTCCAAGGAATAAGGAGTTTAAATGCTGCAGAAATCATAGAGTTTGTGGGTTAAAAAGGCCCTAAGAGATCATCTCCTTTCTGGTCCAACTCTCTCATTTTCCGGATGTGGAGAATTAAGTCCAGAGAGATTGAATACTTACCCAAAGTCACTCTATTAGTGAAAAAGTCAGGCCCAGAACCAGATGTCCTAACTCCCAGGACAGGACTTTTTTCCACTACACTGCCCTGATTTTAAAGGACACACACACACACAAAGTTAGCAGAAGAGTTGAAATTGCTACTTCTTCTCTGACTTTCTTAGCTCTTGCATGGCTACCAACTCTCTGGATGCCTTTCCCATGGACTGCCACCATTAGAAGCAGCATGAGCCAGTGAACCAAACAGAGAGTAGCAAGGACTCTAAATTTTAATCTCTGCTTGGTTACAATCTCACAGTGTGACCCTGGGCAAATCACTTAACCTCAGCTGTGGGTATAGGCTTCCCTACATGTGCACAAGAGTGACAATGCTGACTTTCAAAAGCCAAGATGAGTATACACCAATTAATGAACATGAGGTGGCGAAATACCATACATTCCTTGCCTTATAATGAGCAAGAGGTTGAAAAAGCTAATTGCCTAGAGCAGCATTTCACAAAGTTGTTTTTTTCCTGGAAGCTTGGTCTTGATGAAACACAGTAAAAGTTTCTTTGAAGAAAAGAATAATAATGATGAAAGAACACACATAGGAAAACTGTCTACCTTGCTTGCTGTGTCTGTCATGAACAAAATAGGTATTGCATCAAAGCAGAGAACCATTTCTTATCGGTTGAAATCAATCATGTGATTAAAAGTTGGCTTGTTAATCAATCAACAATAAGCATTTATTGAGTAGATTCTAAGCAAAGGCACAGAGGGGAGAGACAGAATTTCATTTGTGAAGAACAGCAAGAAGTCCAGTTTAGCTAGATAATTAGTTAGCCTCAATTATTAAACATTTCCAATAAAATATGATGCATAAGAAAGAGACATAGTGGACTTGGAGTCAGGAAGAAATGGGTGCAGATTCTGGCTCTGGTGCATACTAGCTGTGTGATCCTGGGCAAATCACAACCTCTCTGAGTCTCAGTTTTCTCATATGTAAAATGAGTGGGCAGGAGTGAATGGCCTCTGAGGTCTCTTCCAGCTTTAAATCTGTGATCCTATAAAGGTGTGTTTTTCTCAGTCAAGAATATAAGTTCTATAAAAATTTTTGTTAAAGTAAAGGGATCCACTGCTTCAAAGAGCTGGATGAATGCTGCTCTGGAGTAAATTGCTCATTCACAATCCATCAACAAGCATTTATGCTTACTATATGTCAGGTACTTTCTGAGATACTGGAGATATATCAAAAAGGAAATAGTCTCAGCACACATTCTATTAGAGAAGACAATCCATGTGCATATATATGGATATGTACATATAGCTTATGTGCTTTGACCCTCTCTCTCAGCGCCAGGCTGGCTTAATTTGCCCTTCAGGGTTCTAAGGTAGGCTGAGGGGTTGGGGTTTTTTGTTGATTTTTTTACTTCTCTACTGAAGTCAGCTCCAGCTTCCACCAGCTATGTTCAGTCAATAGTCAATAAATATTTATTAAGTACCTACTGTGTGCCAGGCACTGTGCTAGCACTGAGGACACAAATAAGAAAAAGGTCCCTGCCCTCAAGTAGCTTATAATCTAATGGGGGAAGATAGCACACAAAAGGAAGCTGAAAAGGTAGGAGGGGGTGCCAGAGGGTACTTGGCGAGAGGGCATGATGTTCATGGAGTTAAAACCAAACAGAGCAGCTGAAGGAAAATGAAGTTAGCTGGAAAATTCTTAGCCCTCCATAAAGGGAGGCTTTGGGTGACGTTTTTTGCTTCACCATCCCACCCTCCAGTCAAAGGGAAGCAGCAACTGATGATGATGAGTTGGTGTTAAGTATCAAAACTGAGTGATGATGAGGAGGTTTCAGGTGATGAGCTTATCCTGGGGGAAGCCTGAGCACGAGCTGCAATGGGAAATGAAAAGTATTCCTCTCATCATTAGGAGCCAATTACTAGTGCCTCAGATCCATTTAACCACTTACCATCAATTAGCTTTTACAAAAGAATATTTACCTCAATGGTATAGCAAGAACAAAGTATAGAACATTTTCCCCAGTCTCTTGGGGGCATACTGTCCGCTGTATCACCTCAGTCTCTGAGGATAATACATTCAGCTTAGCTCAGTTCCTTTGAAACATTGATCCCACCAAGTTCATGTGCAAAGGGGGCATCACTGCCCCATGAATCTTTGTCTCAGCCACTGCTAACCTGGCATCTTGAAGGTCACTCCCAAAGGACATACCTTGCTCCTCAGGACATTGATGCTGAATTGGCTACAAATCTGGACTCTGGAACATCAGGATGTCCCTCATACCTCAAGGGCATTGGTGCTGTCTGGCTGCAAATGGGAACTCTGGAATACTGGGATATCCTGAATATGATAGGAATCACTGAGCTCTCTTGAGATAATGGAGGCAAAAAAGAAGAGGCTAAAACTGTAGGCCTTCCTGAATGCCTCTGTAGTCAGTGAAACAGCCTCCTCCTCACCACATGGTTAGCTAACGGCACCAGTTACAGAATGTCTACACATTCTTTCCAAAGCACTTCCATTCCATTCCATCTTCCTCTTTTAATCATTATTCGTAATAAGGAGGTGCTTTGCTCCATTGATTCTACTGCCTGAAGATATACAAGTGCTCTCAGTGTCCTCCAAGCTTGGGCACCTTGCAGCAAAGCCCCATTGCTACATCCTAGCTTTGGCTCTGTGCAGATTTGGTGAAGGGAATGGGGGTAAGTTGGGGTGTTTCTAAAAATTTGGATAATAGCACTTTTCCACAATGCTTTAAGGTTCACCACGTGCTTTCTTCATAACAATCCTGTAAGCTAAATGATGCAAATATTATTTCTTCTATTTTACAGATGAGGAAACTGAGGATCAGATTAAATCACTTGCTTAACACAAATCTAATGCTCATTCTATCATATTCCACTGTCTTCCCATACCAGCTGGGGAAGGAGCCTGGTATTTCTTTGTGTCTGAATCAAAGAGATGAGATCCCTGCTCTGTAGCCATTGGGTTATGCCCAGAAATACTTCTTGAATAGGGGATAGAGCCTAAGCTATGATGTCACCTTGGGGAGGAAGATAGAAAGAAAGCCAGATGAGGGATATTGTGGGTTGTTAACATACCAGATCAGATATTTGGGTATGAAAGAATGAATAAAAAAATTACTAAGTGATAATTATGTGCCAAGAACTGTGCTAGAAAATGAGAGTAAATGCAAAAGTGGAGATAATCCTTTCCCTCAAGGAGCTTATATTCTAAAAGGGGAGAGAACAGAAGAATGGTGGCCCAAGGAGGGGTATTTGGGGTTCAAAATTACATGATAGTGAATGAAGCCATTGGGAAGTAGATTGACTTATCTTCTTCAGTAACAATGGTAGTATTGATTTGATTGTGTTTGCAGAAATGGAAAGTAGCACAGAAAAGAGGGAACAGAGCGTGTTGGACTTCTTACAATTAAAAATACCTTCCACCCTGAGCCATCTTCCTCTTATTGACTGGTTCCTCCCAACACTTCTATTTTAAGGAAGATGTTCAGACCAGACATTTCTTCATTATTCTCTAGACTGCACTCCTGACTCTCCAGATATTTTTTACCATGCCCTTGAGTGGGTACTCTACCATTCTCCCCTCCTTCACTTTTAGCTTCTTTTTTCATCTTTAATAACGGGTCTTCTCCCATTATAATGTAAGCTCCTTGACGGCAGGGACTGTCTCTGTTTTTGCTTGTATTTGATTTCCCAGAACTTAACGTGGTGCCTGGCACACAGTAAGTACTTAATAAATGCTTGTTGACTTGACTTGCAAGTACGTCTTTATTTAATTCACAGGGTAAAATTACCTTAAATCAGGATGGGACCTCAGAGGCAATCTTGTTCAACCCATACCTGATTAAGAATCTCCTCTATAAAATATGTGGCAAGTAGTCACTCAACCTCCACTTGAAGACCTTCCATGAAGGGGAACCCACTATTATTGAGGCAACTAGATGGTACAGTGGATAGTGTGCTAGGCCTAGAGTCAGAAAGACTTGAGTTCAAACCCAGCTGCAGATACTTATTAGCTGTGTGACCCTGAGCAAGTCACTTAACTTCTGTTTGCCTCATTTTCCTGAATTGTCAAATGGATAATAATAGCACCAACCTCACAGAGTGGTTTTGAGATAATGAGGGTTGAATGAGATAATATTTGCAAAGCTCTTAGCAAAGTGCCTGGCACATAGTAGGTGCTATGTAAATG